TTCTTATTGGTTTGGGTAAGAATGATGGTTTGACTGCCTCCAATTTTACACAGACCATTCCATTGAATTGGTATCAATGGGCCATAACTATTTCCATTGGTTTCATCAGTATTCCATATGGCTTTTTAGTGAGATTCGTCAGCAGAATGTTTTTGAAATTATTGAGCTTGAAGAAGAATAACAGACAAATTACCAGTGATGGCTACGAGGAAACCTATTCCAAAGCAAGTGAATAAATTGTATTATAATATAAAATTAATATTTTGAAAAATTCTTATTATTTACAGTAAACATTTCCCGCCACAACAACAATTAAAAATGAAAAAGCAAAGAAAAATTTCATCCATCAAAAAAACAAAATAAAAATTTCAATATTATTCACTCACATTAATACTCTTCATCATCTTCTTGATTGGAAGAACTTTCATCATCATCATTGTAGCCGTACCGTTGATTCCATCGACTAGAATGAACATACTCCCTCTCTGTAGTTTTAATTTCAGGCTGAAATTCAGATAAATTTAAATAGCCTTCATTCATCTTGGCTTGATTGTTGTTGGAGTGATGATGAGAAGAAGAAGCAACAACACCACCTCCTCCTTCTCCCATCTTGCTAGCTTTACAGATGGGACACGGATACTCCTTATTAAATCCTTTCCATGCCTTTAAACAATCCGCATGAACATTTACTCCACAACAATGACAATATCCTGCCTCCTTCTGTTCATCCAGTTGAGAAAATCCATCACAACAAATAGGACAATTGGAAGTGATGAAGGGATTTCTCTCCTCTTCTCCTTTTAGATGTTTGTAGGTGGCTATGGCTTGTGAATTTGCCATGGAATTATTAGCTGGAGCCTTCTTGAATATTTCCTCTATTTCTGATGGTAGCAAGGCATGTTGATAGATGAGATAGGAAGACTCTTCTATACGTAGTACCTTCAACAGAACGAATAACTTGATTTAATTTACACAACATTATAATAATAATTAACAAATATATTTACATCATCATGTGATTAACAACAGATAGATAATTAATTAGAGAGAAAAGGAAAGACTACTTACAACATGTTTACACAGATTACCATTCTCTGCATCAGGACAATTACACGAAGGTTCTTCACCAATAACAACATCATAGACATTACCTGTTGTTCCCATCACGACAAATGTCTGCTCATGAGCACTATTTACCTTTCTTTCTATGAGGAATAATCTACATGATATGTGTTAAATAGTATTATCATTATTGAATTAATTGTGAAATTATTGGAACAACCTACTTTTGAGTGAGAGCTCTTTCAATTCTTTCTTGAGTTTTAATTGGACAACTGGAAACAAATCTTCTCTTTCTATGTTCTTTAGATTTGTGAGAGCTAGTAATATGATGATGAGTGGTTGCTGCAACCTCAGCTGGTTCTTCCTTTTTTGAAATGGACAAGGAACTGAATGAATGTGGATGCAACAAATCCTCCTCCAGAATATCATCACTCACCTTCTCCTTCTTTGGACTTTCTTCCTTCTTTATTTCAGAATCATTGTGTTTTCTCTTCTCTCCATGATGATCATGATGATGATGTTCCTCCACCAAATGATTGAATTCTTTAATCTTTTCAATTAATTCTTCCTTTCTCAAATGGGAACAACCATGATAAATTCCCAAATCTTTCATGTGTTGTTTTAATTGGTCAACTGTGAGAGCCCACAAGTCCAAATCACTGTAGAATACTTTAAAACTGCCAGATGATGATGTAGCAGTAGAATGATGATCAGTTTGATGCATTTCTTTTGAATTATTTGAATTAACTGTTTATTATCTTTCTTTAGTCCAATTATTTGAAGTTCAAAAATGGAACCTTTTCATATTTGGTCAATTTGATTTGAACCATCTTTTTCTTGAGGACTTTAACAGAATTTAGCTGTTGGTTAGTATTTAGTATTGGAACTGTGAATCATCATGATTGCCTTATTTGAAAACTCTCACAACACCATATTGAGCATCACAAACAAATAATTCACCACTAATTGAATTGAAACACATTCCACCAACATTGGCACCCTCCTTTCTATTCTCAAATGATTTGACAATGGCGCCACTCTCCACACTAACCATCAACAGACCATGTCCTTCCTTATTTAAGAGAATGTATTGATTCGTCTGGTCGAGAAGAAATGAAAAGGAAATGTCTTCATCTTGTGGATAAGAAAACAATCCTTCCTTTGCAATGGATTTCACACATGACCATACACCACGTTCATTCTGAGAATAGATTTGAAACAAGTTGGTTGGGAAATTGTTTCGAATACCAACAATCATTGAACCATCTTTTGGATCAATAACTGGTTGGAAACATGAAATGACTGGAAGTATATCATCATCATCATCGTTCATCAACCCTGTCAGGCTATT